TCCATCCATCCAACCAACCCTTCATCCATCCAACCCTTCATCCACCCAACCCTTCAGCCCTTCAACCCTTCATCCATCCACCCAACCCTTCATCCATCCACCCAACCCTTCATCCATCCATCCATCCATCCATCCATCCATCCATCCATCCACCCAACCCTTCATCCCACCACCCCTCCGTCCATCCCACCACCCCTCCGTCCATCCCGCCACCCCTCCATGCATCCACACCTCCATCCCTGCACCCATCCCTCCACCCCTGCATCCCTCCCTCCATCCACGACTCCATTCCTCCCTTCTCCTCCTCACCACGAGTAGAGGAAGAAGCAGAAGAAGGGCAGCGACACGGTGAGCTGCAGCCAGCGCCAATCGGGGACGGCGTAGGCGATCCCAGCCAGCAGGAACTGCCCGGTGGTGTAGCAGTAACCCATGAAGGTCCCCACCAGCGCCCGGGTGCGAGTGGGCATCCACTCCAAAGCTGCCGAGACACACAGAGACGTGGAGCAAACCAGGAGGAGGTTGCCCAGGGCCGGTAGCGTGGGACCGGCGGTGGCCACGTACAGAGGGAGACGCTGTTGAGGACGATGCCGGAGAAGGCCATGCCCGTGAGGAAACGGAAGAGGCAGTAGACGGTGAAAGTGGGGGCGAAGGAGGAGCACGTCCCCATGGTGCCCATCTGAAGGTAGCACCAGGTGAGCAGCGACCGGCGGCCGAACCTGGGCGGTGAGGAGGAGGAAGAGGGGGTGAGGAGGAGGAAGAGGGGGTGAGGAGGAGGAAGAGGGGGTGAGACAATCCCCGTGAGGCTGCCCCACCTGGGGATGGGGTGTTGCCCCTCACCTGTCCGAGAGACCCCCGAAGACGATGCCGCCCGCCAAGACGCCGGCCATGTAGAGCGACTGGGCCAACTGCTTCAGCCCCCGGGAGCTGCACACCAGGTCCCACTGCCAAGGGACAAGGACGTGGGGTGGGACAGAGATCGGGGGGGATCCCCTCTGGGCTCCCTCCTGCCCCCCAAAACTGGCCGGGGCGGATGGTAGGGTCGAGCCAACACAACAGCCAACGGTTGGCCAATGGAAACACCAAGATGGTGCCATTAAACACTTGGCCACCCTTCCCAGCATCCCCGTGGTTGGAAGCTCCTTCCAGGGGTCATCTGGTCCCTTTTTGACCCCTTGTTGATGGCCACCAACTCCCTCATCCCCACCCCGTTTCTCGTCCTGAGCTCTCGTGGCGTTGAGTGCCTCCGCCAAGGGTTGAGCGGGGAAGACGCTCCAGTTGGCAGAAGTCAACGGCGCGATGACGGCAGCCCCTTCGCTGGTGCCTCGAAGGTGGGAACTGCACCCAGGATTGGGCGAAACGCACCACCAGCCCCAAATCCCACCCCACTGCCGCTGTCCTACCTCAGTGATGATGGTGCTGGTGAAGATGCTGTGGTCGTAGGTCCAGCCATCGCGGCAGGGCTCCGTTTCTGGCCAGCTGCTGTTGGGAGCCGAGGCATTGACCTCCAAAAGCCACCACTGCGGTGTCACAAACCGCCGGCACCGCTCGCCGTGAGGAACCGAAACCCTCAGCAGGTCCCGGGGGTCGAGGCCGGTGGCGTTGGCCTCCCACCGAAGCCGGCAGCGATGGTCGCTGGTGGCGGCCGTGAAGTTCTGCAGAAGGTTGTGACTGGCCATCATGAGGACGGGCAGGGCCAGGAGAAGCACCGAGACCACCTGGAAGCGTCCCATGCCCCCCACGTGCTCCAGGAGGCTGGCGAAAGCCATGCTGCCACCGTCAGACCCCGGGAACGCCCCGCAGCCATGCACGCCCGCCCCACGCTCGCAGAGCCCCAAAAGGGATGGATTTCACCCCAAAAAAAAAAAGGCTTCTCTCACTCCCGCGATGTCCTCGCTCCCCAAACACCAGGGATGGGCCTATATAACCCGGCCAACGGCCGGCGTGGGTTAATGTTTGACATCTGGGGGGGGGGTTTTTTGGTGATTTGCCAGCAGAAGGCAAAAGCAGGGAGGCAAAAGTGCAGGCGAGGGCAACGCGAAGGAGTCCGGGGGGGGGGGGGGGGGGGGCGACCAAGAGCCAACAAAGGGTGGCCAGAGCCAAATCCCCTGGCAGCGCTTCCCTCCCCTCGTGTCGGCAAAAAAGCCCCCGAAACGGGGCAAAACTGGGGCAATCTGGGGCGGGAAGAAATCATTCTCTCTCTTTTAATTCTTTTTTTGAGGAGAAAAGGTGGCTTTTGGCGAGGGGACACCTGGGACCAACCTCCTTCGTCCGGCTCATGGGGTACCCTCAGGTGGGCACCCCGCGGGGGAGGGGGGGCTCCTGGCTTGGCCTTTGGGTTAAATTTTAGCGATTTTTGTGGTCGAAAGGCACCCGAAAGGTGCTGACGGAGGCGGCCTTGCTTGGGTCAGCGCGTTCGCCGCCGGGGGTTAATTTTTGATGGGGTCGGAGCGATGAGGGGGTTGATGGGGCCAAGGGACGCGTCGGCAGTGTGGGTTGCTGGGAGGGGGCTGGGGTGGGATTTGGGGGCTCCTCTGGGATTTGGGGGACCCCGCTGCCGGGACAAAGAGTTGGGTGGGTTTGGGGTTCTTGGGTGTCATTGTCTTGGAGGTGACCTCCAACATGGGGGTTCTTGGGCGTCATCTTATTGGAGGTGACCTCGGGGACAAGGTTATGAGGTGGCATTGAAGGTGACCTCCAACATGGGGGGTTCTTGGGTGTCATCTGACTGGAGGTGACCTTGGGGACAAGGTTATGAGGTGGCATCTTCCTGAAGGTGACCTCCAACGTGGTGTTCTTGGGCGTCGCGTTATTGGAGGTGACCTTGGGGGCAAGGTTATGAGGTACCATTGGAGGTGACCTCCAACATGGGGGTTCTGAGGTGCCATCTTATTGGAGGTGACCTCGGGGACCAGGTTCTGAGGTGTCATCTTATGGGAGGTGACCTCCAAAGTGTTCTTGGGCGTCATCTTATTGGTGGTGACCTCCAACGTGGTGTTCTTGGGTGCCATCGTATTGGAGGTGACCGCAGGGACACCGTTCTTAGGCTTTGTCCTATTGGAGGTGACCTCGGACGTGGTTATTGGGTGTCATCTTATTGGAGGTGACCTTGGGTGGGCTCAGATAACACCCCGAGACACCGTCCCCAGCAGAGCTGCTTTATTCCCCCGAGGACTTCCCCCGCCCCACACGGGGAGGTCACCAGCCGGGGGGCAGGCGGCGAATTCGTCCCCAAAACGAGGCTGCGGGGACCCGTGGGGGAGGGCGGCTGCTGGTGGCCGGGCGCAGGGTGCTGTCCCCCACCCCGTGGTCCTTCAGGCCTCCTTCTGCAGGGCCTTGTCCTGGGGCTGGAGGGGGATCTTCTCTTTGGGGTCATCCGTCTTCTTCCGTTTGGCCCTGGAGGGAGGAAGATGAGGAGGAGGAGGGTCTGTGGGGCATGGCAGGGTGGGACGCAGCCCAGCTTGCACCGTGTCCATCCGTCTGTCCAACCATTCAGCCGCTCATATCGCTCCTTCTTCTGCCAACGCACCCATCCGCTTGTCCCGCAACACATCCGTCTGTCCATCCGTCCAAAACCCCTTCCTATTTCAGTCCGTCCGTCCATCCATCCATCCTCCATCCATCCATCATCCAACCACCCATCCACCATCCATCCATCCGTCCATCCACCCGCAAAATCCAGTTGTTCATCTACCACTAGGTCCGTCCGTCCATCCGTCCGTCCATCATCCATCATCCAACCATCCATCCGTCCATCCATCCACAAAATCCAGTCATTCATCCCCCACTAGATCCATCTGTCTATCATCCATCCGTCCATCTGTCCATCCATCCATCCTCCATCCATCCTCCATCATCCATCCGTCCATCTGTCCATCCATCCATCATCCATCCGTCCTCCATCATCCATCCATCCATCTGTCCTTCCGTCCGTCCCCATCCATCCGTCCATCCATCCATCCATCCGTCCATCCATCCATCCATCCCTGTGTCCATCTGCCCATCCATTTTTCCATCCATTTGTCCACCCATCCGTCCATCCATCCATCTCTCCCTGTGTCCATCTGCCCATCCATTTGTCCATTCATTTGTCCGTCCGTCCCTCCATCCATCCCTGTGTCCATCTGCCCATCCATCCACCTGTCTTTCCACCCATCCATCCGTCTGTCCATCTGTCCATCCATCCCCGTCCATCCACCCACAAAATCCAGTCATTCATCCCCCACTAGATCCCTCCCTCCCTCCGTCCCTCCGTCTGTCCGTCCCTCCCCATCCATGCCCACCTGCTCTCCACCTCCTCGATGGTGTCGGGCAGCGGCCTGTTGAGGGTCTCCGGTAGGAAGCCGGCCGCCACGGCCGCCACCACGGGGGCCGCCCCATAGACGGCCGGGGGCAAGAAGGGGTAGTACTCATCCATCATCTTCACCAGCGGCGCCACGATGCCACCCACGCGGGCCATGGTGCTGCCGAAACCCAGCCCGGTCTGCCTGCCGGCGCCGGCGGGGGGGTCACCGTGGAGCGGGGACCACCGCGGGGTG